CACATGGGTACCGGCCATACCACCCTGATGGCAGACATGCCAACTCTCCCAGGCGCTCTGGGAGTCTCCCGCTATTAGCAACTCACGGGAGAGAAACATTTTCTCCCGGAAAGGTTTACTCTGCTCGATCTAGCAGAGTAAACCTTTCCATGCTCTGTTTTTTTCTGACATTGGCCGCCGTCAGTCAGAAGAAAAAAAAACAGCATAGGAATGCATAGCTAGATTCCTATTGGCTATTTCAATTTGCAATATCCAATAGCAAGCTGGCTATTGCACCCGCCCTCTGCTGCTGTAAATCACTAGAAGAGGACCTGATGGAAAACTTCAGGTCCCCCTCTGCTGATTGACAGCAGCAGTGGGCGGGTGCAATAGCTAGTTTGCTGTTGGATATTGCAAAGTGAAATAGCCAATAGGAATCTAGCTATGCGTTCCTATGCTGTTTTTTTTTCTTTCTTTTTTTCTGACTGACATCAGCCGGCGGCTCCAATATCAGGAAAAAAAAAGAAGAAAAACCAGAGCAGAGTAAACCTTTCGGGAGAAAGTGTTTCTCTCCCGGGCGGCCGAGAGGCGTCCGGGAGAGTTGGGATGTCTTTTAGGCGACCCCTGGCAAATAGTCATTTGACCCCCGACGGGGTCGCGACCCACAGGTTGAGAACCGCTGCTCTAATGGCTCTCTACATTTCAGACACTTTCATTAGCACCCTTACTGAAACACCTTTATATCTAACAAGATTTGAATTAAGTTACCACTTTATTATGTATATCTTTATGTTGCCAGTACCAAAATAATACAAAGTTACATACCTGGAGTATCAATACTATGCTCAAATAAGGCAGGATCAACACTATGCTGAAATGAGTCAAGATCCTTTCTCAAGCCTACAAGTTCTTGAGCCTAAAAAGCAAAGAAAGTATATCGTAAAATACAAATTGGCATTATTATTCCACACCTTAGGAAGAAAGCAAGGCTGACAAGTCTGCCTGTAGATGGGATGCTTTGGTTGGAGTTATATCATTAGCCCTAGACCAGGGCTCTCCAGCTGTGCTGAAACTACAAATCCCATCATGCTTCTGCCTCTGGGAGTCATGCCTGTGGCTTGCAATGCCTTATGGGATGTCTAGTTTTAGCACAGCTGAAAAGCCAAGGCTGCCTACCCCTGCCCTAGACCATACTAGTCCATGATAAAAGATAGTAGCAAGTCTAGTCAATAGGTGTTTCAGATAAGCCAAGATAAAAATGGCAATTTGTGAGTCTTAAAGCAAGTCTAAAACCAAGAGCAAAAAAACATATCATATACCAGTCCCTAGATGTGGTTGCTACATTTGTTCTCTTTTTTTAAAATCTTTATTTAATCAACAATTTTTTACCAAATGTTTAAACAAAAATGTCAACGCAAATACTTTAGACACACCAACAGATGCGAGAAGAACATAAAAGGTTTTACAATGGAGGCTATAAGTCAGGAACGGGAAATTCCAAGTGGGATAGAAAACACATTGAAATACCATGCCGCAACCATGTGGCACGCAGTTGGCAGAGGGTCCCATTGACTTTAATGGATGTGTTTAGCAAGCAGCACTGCCTTCCAGACTTGACATGCCCAGTTAAAGAGGAACTTTACCCTTATCTTTAAAATGATAACAAAGACACCTTTAGAAATGTTTAGTAATAGCAATCTACAAAGACGTACTTCTAGAAAATTGCCGGCTTTTTATTCTTTGCCTACTTTATTTTTCTTTTCCTCCCCAGTCTTCTCACAGTGGCCATTATTACTATGGGCAGATTAATATACCTTTACTTCCTGGAACTCTTACATATGTGACTATGACACGTGGCCATGCACATCATCTCAGGGGAGGAAAATGACTTGTAATCTTCCCAGGATGCAATGCTTGGATGCCCCACCTCACAACTTACAGGAGTTAAAAGATCTGCTACTGATGGCTTGGTGCCAGATACCACAGAGGGACCTGCTCAATCTTAGGCAGGTGGTCATACTGTTATGGCTGATCGATCAGTGTGTGTGTGTGTGTGTGTGTGTGTGTGTGTGTGTGTATATAAAGAAAGGGAAATCAGTAATGACCAAAAAAGAAATGACATCAAACTTGTTAAAGGAGAACTATGGGGTTAGGGCTTTTCCCCATAGTTCTCCTTAGGGTAACGGGAGGACACAAACTAGCGTCCTCCCGTCACCCTAAGCTCAGTATACCACGAGCTACAGCTCACGGTATACTGAGACGCTGCAGCCGGAACTGATCCCGACAATGCTGTCTGGATCCACCCAAATGAGGCTGAGTGCAAATCACTCACCTCATAGTTCTCCTTTAAGCCCTACATCTAAATAGCACATAGCAGAAGCCGCAGCTGTGCGACATCTCTCTAAATAACATGAAGAATGCATTTTATAATTACCTTTTCTGTCATTAGGTTCCAGTTTACTTTCCAAAAATATATACAGAAGAAGAGATCGATAACAGTAAACCCAGTTATCATTCCAGTCCAAAAACCTGTTAAAGAAAATAACAGATGCTCAGGGCACGAATCAAACTTCATTTTATTTTATTTTTATTGAAAGACACAGCAAAGGTCTATCTTCATTAATGGGTTATAGCGCCGCCATCAGGATTAGGACACTAGGCACAAAAAGCAAAAGCACAGACTAGAGGTGGCCCCTTGCTGGTAGCCAAACCCTCCATCTGCTAGAGGCAGCTCAGTTTTTTTGCCTATTGTCAAGGAGTAAGGACCTAAGCTCTCTTCTCGGAATCTTTCTTTTTGCTTTTTCGTCTGTCTTCCAGACCTTCAAATAACAGCTGAGCTGGGTGACAAGCTGGATAATATCGATCCTTGTAGTCTCTCCAGCTCAGCCATTGAGCTTATGCAGATCCTTAGCTATATGTGGGGTCGGCTGTGACAGCCCTAACCAAGGGCAGCCTGTGAGTTTTCCTCACAGGGGACACATATGACCAAGTGACTTGTTGCTCTGTCACAGTGTCCCCCCAGGTGGACAGTGCCCCGGCTGGACCTGGGGACATGGTTCCTGCTCCCGGAAGTATTGCGAGGCCCCGTTAAAAGTGGGAGATGTCGGATCTGGACCTTTACGGTCTTCTATGAACTACACAATGTTGTCACCAGTGTTGATATCCAAGGTTGCTGTCGGGACTCCGTGGGATTGATGCAGCAGGATTTGTGCCTTTCTCCTCTGGTTGTTCTTCCTTGTCTGCTCCTCTGGATTGGGATGGAGGGTGTTTTGCTGATGACCCCCAGCTGATATGGCTGGTCATACTAATTTGACCTGATCGAATTTTTGGCAGATGTTTCCTGGGTTCTTCCAAATCTGCGGGATCTTCTATCTTGAAGGTTGGTTTTCCTTCATGTTATAGGTCTCTAGTTTTGTCAACATTTCTGTTTGTTTGTTTTTTCTGTTGCACTGTTATGCATCTGGGAGAACTTTCTGGACTCTTCAGTATTTGGTTACCATACCTGGATTGCAGGATTGCAGCATTTTCCCCCCGTGGTGCAGGCTTTGCATGTCGCTCTGTCCTGGGAGCTCCACTGGGAGCAGTGTGTGTGTTAAAGCCTGAGGGAAGAGTTGTTTTGTACCCACCCCTCAGTAGTTACTGCTTTGGGATTTTCTTTTCCGTGTCTTTCAATAAACAGAAAATAAAATTGTTTTTTTTTTGTACTCACCGTAAAATACTTTTTTCTGCGTTCACGCAAAGACACAGCACTATGGTTGTTATGTGTATGACCAATTGTTGTTTGTCTATTGCTTTGTTACTAACTGAGCTGCCTCTAGCAGATGGGGGTTTGGCCCTCAGCAGGAGCTATCCCTCGGCTTTGCTTATGTTTTTTGTGTCTAGTGTCCTACTCCTCATGGTGGCGCTATAACCCAATGGTGAAGATCTAAAGATCTCTGCAGTGTCTTTCAATCAACGCAGAAAAAAAGGATTTTACAGTGAATACAACAAAATCCTATTTTTCTCATTTAGACAATTGTTTCTGACGATATACAGTATGTAACAGACAAATCAAAATACACCAATATAATGTGTATGACCCCTTCATTTTGACTACAACAATTAGATTAAAAACCCTTTACTTTTTATTTTTACATCTTATATTTCAATAATAAATTTCAATTTAAAGGATGGCTCAGCACAAAAGTGAGTGAATGATTTGGTCAGGTTCTAATGCATTTTCCACCAAGACTGATCATCCTTTTAAGTGAAAACCATTTTTTGATTGAACAGATCCTACTACTGAATGTTACTGAATTGTATCATTACAAGTATGGGCAGAATTAGATGTACTGATCCAAAGAATTATAGCAATGTTGGGGGTTGAAGGTGACAGTATTTATCTGTAGTGGCGCATACGGTCTTAATGCTGCTGATAAATTTAGAAACAATATCTGTATTTGAAACATTTTTGAGAAATAGAAAACATATTATGTGTATCCAATCAATGCTTAAAGGCATATTCTATTCATGCCACATTTAGGAAAAACACCCCATTGCCTTGAGTTATGGATGATGTTCTCTCTTTAAAGCTAAACATGCTATCCTTCTATTACAGTTAGATTCTTGACCCATTCTTGGTTGAAAAAAAATGTCATAATTCCTATTGTGCGTGTTGGCTTCAAGCTTTCATAATTGTAAAGTGTAGTTGGTCCTGAAGCTAGTACAACAATCTCCAATGTGTTATCCAAGATTATTTGATTAATTTCTTTGGATCTGAAAGTGATGGAATCAATTCCTTTCAACCTTTTTTAGCTACTAGTCAGATTATTCACATTCTAATAGCATTACCCTCTTCTATTTTACATTCTGGTCTTCTTTCTCTATACCATCCATAATTAAGAAAATAACTCACGTCAAGTAATTAGCCAATTCCTTGGAAATGAGCTAACTTGGGGCTCTGGTAGGCTGGTTTCTCAGTCACTATTATGGAATAGCTCCTGGATAAAATAAAGTTAATATGGAGTAAGGATACCTATTTAATGTGGTTGGTCTGCATCCTTACACTGCTTTTGTGCTTTTACCAGTGTGTGACTTTTCATGTTTTTGTCCTGATCAATTAAACTTAATGTTTTCAAAAAGAGCATAACAATATCAGTCTAAAATACTTTCCTAAAAACACTCTTCTTAGTCCAAGTCACCTAGCCAATTGACAGAAAACTAATAGAATTAAAAAAATGACCTGTTATTCCTAGCTTTGCTGGAAACATGAGGGGTACAGCAACTGGAAATACTATCAGGCAATAACCTATGATAAATGCCAATGCTCCAATCTCTGGCTTCCCAATGCCTCGAAGCAGTCCATTGAAAACACCCTGTACAAAAGAGAACATATAGATTAGAAGTAATGCTATATTTCTGTTCAGAATATTAAAATATATAATGGTGTGGAAAGGGAACAGAAAAGTACATGTGGCATATTTAACGTTAACTGCGGTTTAGTTCATAGCTGTTCTGACTTCATAGCATTACAATGATCTTTAAAGAGTTAAAGAGATTAATAAAACAACCCATTACACAGAGGGTGCTAAAACTACAGTAAAACATCGGCATTTTACGATAGTCTAATAAAGCTTTTCTCCACTAATATTCCAGTATTCTCAGAGAAATACAACACCAAACACGAAAAGAGAAAACACAAAATAAAATAATGCAAGCAGTACAGCAAAGTATGGACTCTGACTCAAAAAGAAGTCAATGCAATAGATACTGAAGTAGACATAGAAATATAGAATAGGTTCCACCTGAACCGGAACTTTTTCCATTCTTTCTCCTCTTCTTCTTCCCAAATTTGTTTCCGACTACTTATTTTCTTCTACTAGTTTTTCCTACTTCTATTCCCAAACACATTTCAAGGCACATTTATTTTGCAAGAACAGTTACAAAAACTGAGCAAGTCTAAGACTAACTTTTTGTAATATACTTCTGCCTTTACTAAAGGCTATTCCCAACTCTGTGTAATAATTTATTTCCTCAAGAACCTTAAAATTGTTACGCTAAATCGAACTACAAGTTATTTCTATTAATATCCAGGAAGGACCATACAAAAATGCCTACAATTACACAGGAGTACAATCAGTTCAACATCTTGAATGATACAGCAAGATAGCATATGTTATTATCTTAAACACATTATATAAATAGCTGAGCGGTGCATCTATCTCACAAGTATTCTAGAGAGAAAAATGCCCAAAAATGAATGAAAACTTACAGCTGGTGAGTAAGCAACATAAAAAATGGCACAGAGAGGCATGGTTTTCGACACCAGTAATACAATAGCCCTAAAAAAGAAAAATGAAATAATGATACCAATATAATTTCTGTTAAATGAAGAGATCAAATATATAAAATAAAATGTGTTATTGTTATTTATGGGCAAATAAATAGGAGTCAACAACTGATATGCATAGACAAAGATCTGCAGCTGAAGAGACACAGCTTGATAACCAGAGCTCTACTGCATTCATGGAGTATGGCATCCATTTGTCTATGAGGAATAGTATTTATATTTACAATGTACAGGTCAACACTTTACTGCTACAAAGATAAAGATAAAACTCCCTTGAAACTGAATCTGCTGAAGTGTATTACAGTACTGACCTGAGGTACACAGCTCCAAAAACTCGCTCCCCTGATGGACTACAATCTCAATTTGAGATTGTAGTCCATCATGGGAGTGAGCCTGGAGCGGTGGCTACTTTACAACATCCACACAGGGACCATAGGGAACAAAAGTAGCCACCCTCCAAAAGGAAGGACAGTGTCAGCATGAATTTAGGGATGATTTGAGGATCTACAGCCAAGTGATACACAAATAAGCTGCATTTTTTATTAATAGTTAAAGTATGTGAATGCATTTTTAAGATTTACCTCCTGAGTTTAGTGTCACTTTAAAGTGACATTAAAGTCAAAAGTCATCGTCTCCCCCCCAATGCTAATCTAAGGACTTACCTTAAACGGAGAACTATGAGGTGAGTGCTTCTCACTCACTTCATAGTTCTAGCCGACCTGTGAGACTGTCACAGAGCTTTTCATCTGTCCCTCCAGCGTTTGTGCGGGTCCCCGATCAAGCGCAGACTCCTCTGTCCTCCTCTTCTCTCATGTCCCGCGGTGTTTGTGCGGTTGCACGCTGCTCCATAGACTTACCTTGTGTCTCTCCTCGTCTCCCGGCCAAACATCTGAACTGCGTATGCATCCGCCCCAAGATCCTTTGCAGCCGCCCGATACATTTTAAGATGTTCGGACAGTAGCGCGCGGCGGAGACGCAGGTAAGTATTAACCCTTTGAAAAAGTTTTTTTTCAAAATAATGTTGCATATAACTACTGCTTGCTAGCAGTAGGTATATGCAAAAACATCCGAGGGTAATTAACCCTTTAAGTCTAACATGAAGGACAAGTCTGAAAAAAACCCAACATAAACAATTTGTTGGCCAATTTATCTGACTTTCGACAAAAACTATTTCGGCCACTTTCATTCTTTTTGAGAAGCAAAATGAGTGGACATTCGCCCAACATTCACCCAGTAAAAATTAAACTCCCTGGCATTCAACTTTTCTGTTCTTCATTTGTAAAAGCCTTTACTGTAACATTCACCCAGTTTTAAACAAAAAGGTGAATGCCACCTTTCATGCACAATCAGCAGACATTCCCTCAGTGTGTTTATAAATAAAATATACCTGTTGAGCTGCTGAATCATTGCAACATCTACTGCAATTAGAATGTTCTCTGGCCTTCTTGTTATGGGGTAACCAGCCTGTATGCCTGGTGTACAGAGCTGGTTAGTGGGCTATGCAATTTTTGTAGTTTCTTTACTTAAAAGAGACAGCCATAAAAAAAAAAAAGAAAAGCGCAGTTTCAGAAATGTGAAGTGTTCTAGTCGGTAAATTTGCCTGCTGTTTGAATTAACTTGTGACATTCAGGAACTGTTCAATGGCTCTGCATTTGTCTGGTGCACATTCATCCTATTATAAATTGGGTGAATTTGCCTATGGCATGCCAGGGGAATACCTTTGAATGTCACTTGGGTATTTAGCATTAAGGGATTTATCGGGTGAATTTTCCAGTAAACCCAATATAAATATTATTATTTATACTTATTACTTATTGTGACTTGGCTGTTCTGATAGAATAGTGCTGTACGATAACTATTACATCAGGTTTACACTTTAGTTGATATAAAGGGATAAGAAGCTGTGGCGACATTTTTTATTTATCATAAAACACCTTAATTTTACTAAAATGATAACGGGTATCACGTACTTATCAGTGGTAAATAGTTCTCCAAGTGGTTTCTTCAGAGCAAGCAGTAAAATGAAGATTAATAGTGAAAATAAAGCTGAAAGAAATTAAATCGTTCAGTACACAGGTAGCTGGATTCTAAACAAGCAAGCAAGACTACAAAATAACTCCTCGAATGCAAAACAGAAGTTAAGGGCTAAGTTATCCTTTCTGATCATGATTCATGGTACACCCATATTTAAGGTATAACATGAAACATGGTGACATCGACCCCCCCCCACTCCTATCCCACCCCCTGACTTACCTGAATTGAATACCTGAAAGCATTTCACACTGAAAGGTACTTACTAATGAGCCTGATAAGTAAACACCTTTAAGTTTCAAATGGCGCAGTGGTCTGTCAAGGCTCCTACTGACTCGCACACTTACCTGAAATGCAGGGTTCTTCTACCCACAGGCTGCTATTTTTGAAATATGGAGTGGCTGTGTGTGGTTCCGCCCACTTAGTCACATCATCCATTCACAGGTCCTATCAGCCACCACAGCAGAGTGATTTGCAATTCTCAATGGAATACAAGTGTAGTGACATCACCCCACTTGTAGTTCATTCATTCTTTCTTTCATCCCTATTATTGTGTAGCGTCCATCACCTTTTCTGATGTGACTACTGTGCATTTGGTGATAGCCAGGGCTGTAGACAGCCTGGCTGGATTTGTAACAGCAACTACATGGTTAATTCCAGGTGTCTAACTTTGTCTGTACCCCCCTGGGCGGAGTGGGACTCTGTCATATTGGGGAACAGCCAATGGGAGACACTGTAATATGTGTACAGTACAGCAGCCAACCACTGGGCTTGTTTCAGCAAGTGATGCCCGCTTGGATAGTGTATATATATATGGGTGGGAGCTGCCATGTGCTCTCTCTCTCTCTCGCCTGGACCAGCCATGGATTAGGGCTGGGTTCTGTTCAGCCTGCCCCCCAGGCTAGGCCAAGGCCTGGGGGTGAGCAGTGGCTGAAGTGAGGGAAGATGTTTCCCTGAGGCCTTCAACATGGACGAGGCCTGAGAGATAGAGAGAGGAAAAAGAATCAGGACCAGTACAGGCTCTTGAGGTGCCCTGGATCTATGTGGACATCAGAGCCTGGTCAGTGTTTCTTTCTTGGATTGTGGATATGCCTTCCTACTGTTACAAGATTTGGTGAGTCTGGAGCGGATGATGGTTACCCCTAGACACCTAGAACCCCTATACCCTCTCTCCACAGAATATGTTAAATAAACTGTTCAATTAGCATTATAATACTGAAGTGGACATCAATTTATGGGCGGTTAGTGCTAATGGGTGCAGCTGGAAATCAACCCCTAGACTGACTAGATGTGGACCGGGCAATCAGTGGCTCCTTGCGGGGAGTTATCGCCACCAATTGAATGTCCATACCTCAGTACAGACAGGGGCTTGGAGGTAGAGTTTGCAGGAGCCAGTGTGGTCCACTTATCGCAGTTGCAATGCTTTAATGGCTCCAATACAAAAAATAATAAATGTACATTTTTCCTTTAATAAATATATGTGCATTTTTTTTTCTTTAAAGGTCTTTGCCTTTAAGCTGAACAGTCACAAAAGACTGTACATAATGACATTTATTTCAGCATTTTCTGTATCACTGAATGGTTGGTTTTATATTTCTTACCCATATAAGACTAAAGAATGGGTACTTGCTGGGGCAGAATTCAACTATTCGCATTTTTAGAGGTAATACTTTATGTACATACACTTTATGTTGGAGGTCTGTACTGTATTAACCACTAACAGGAAGCTGCTTTACACATTCATGGGTCCAGGGCAAACCTTTCATGGATGCCCCCTCATTTATTTTCTAATATTTAACATATAAATGCTGAATAAATGAAATAATAAAAGTGAAAAACAGAATGGAAAACAGAAGAAACAACTGTATTAGAAACTGGAGGAATGAAAGGCTAATGAGATGACCAGGTTACTAGTAGACCTGCTTTATTTGATTTCTATGGCTCCATTGTCAAGAGCTGCATAGAGAGAGTGTCTCTCACCCCTTATGTAAAAGGCATCAAAATATATTGCACTGTACATGTGCCCAGAGTGTGAGAGGCTGCCACTAACTGGATGGGTGGCCTTCCACAATTGCAATCAGTTCTGTTTCTCCATGCTTTGTAAACATGCTGCACAGGTGATATGTCCAACACTTGGGCCCTGGAGTACTGGGCTTATTATCCCTATTATTAAGTGGGCCTACCTGCCAGGACTGTGCCACTCTTTCTTCCACAAATACATAGCATATTTTTGGTCCTGAATTAGGGAACAGAGTAGTGGAAAAACATGAAGGCAAGTATTGTTATCTCTCCTTATGAGAATGATCACTGCCTAACTGTCTTGCATTCTATTATTTCAATACATTTGAAACACTGGCATGGAATAAGTATGCCACTGGAGCTGCATGACATACACCAGTATTTTAGGGAGATCAGCAATGCCAGCCTATATTTTGCTTTTAGAAAAGTTGTTAAAGCAGAAGTCAAGACACCAGAATAAAGACATTGTCCCATAGTACATGCATTACAATCCACGCTCTGCAGGAATGACACAGGGTGGTATATTGACCCGTGGTACCAAGTGCTACAGGCAAAAAAAACTAATGGCCTTCACTTAGAAGCCCAATTCTAACATTTCCATGAAAACAACTGTTTATTATTTAATCCACCAATTGTCATATTTAAAGATTGCACAATTACATATACGGTAAGCATAAGGATTGTCATAAAAACATACCTACTATAACCATGCTTAATTTAGCAGACTTCTTTGCTTGACCAGTCTCTCCAGCTCCTAAGAAAATGCCAACCCTAATGCTTGCAGCCATGCCAACAGAAAAGGGAATCTAAAAAATTCTATATATTAATATGGGGATTGAAACAGGCAATAGGAACATAGACATCACAGCTCAAATGTATATAAATGTAGGTATTTACCTTCTGGACTAGGGTTATTAACTGAAACAGAATGGATTGTCCCCCAAGTTCCACTAAGGTAATAAGACCTAGATGTATATGGAAAATAATGACAATGCATCTCATCCTTATCACAATATGTGCAAGTGAAAAACACTATTTTGGTTACCTGTTAATATCATTGCAACTTCATAAGCCCAAAATTCAATGCTCATAATCAGCATGCCAGGAATGCCCAATGCTAGGAACGGCCACCAATCTTTCAAACATTCGGTTGACCAACCTGTAATAAGGGTAGAACATGGAAATGTAAAATCAACTTCTAAAGAAAAGAAGATGAGACTTAAAATCCCACCCACAACAGAAAGCCACGCATAACCAATGTATAATTCATGTTATAGGGTAAATATCAGTTGTAACATTGAAAGTGGATGTTGGAATGGTGGATGGTAGAATCACACAAGTACCAAACCATCCACCTTGTTATATCTGCACTACAAGATTCACCTTATGCCAGAACATGGATAGCAAATCCTACATTCTGAATTCGATCATCTCACTGAAGAATCCCAAAAACATTAGGCTGGGTCCCGATGAAAAGCTTAAATAACATCTAACCTCAAGAACAAAAGAATGTAATATATTGCAGCTTGCCAGGCCTTAGATGAAGTGCATTAGATTTTATTTTATTCCCAGTGGTCCACTGGATTTTTGGAAGCCTACTTATTTTCCTTAGTACAGGTTTAATTTCATAAATGAAATATGATTGTGTACATAAATGAAATCCATCTTACCTGGCCAGGAGGCAACATGCAGTTTTTTCACTTGAATATAGATGAGCAGCAAGATAAATTCAAAAATGGCTGCTATAGTAATTGCCAAAGCACCACCCCTAAAAGATTGATGGAATTATAAACAGAAGGAAAGCTTTCACTGCAAAAATAATTGTATTGTAGAACCCATTATTAAAAGTGCTATAACCTTTTGGTTTACTAGCCTGTATATACATACATACGTGAAATTCATAAACTTGCTTGGCCCCAAAAAATTTTTTTTTAAAGTCACCACCTTGATTTCAGTCAATGATATGATTTGGGGTTGCTTCAGTTGGACACGTCTAGGTTCAGAAACATTATGCACCCCAAAAAAAGAGGTCAGCTGCCTACCTGAATATACTGAATGACCAGGTATTTCCATGAAAGGAATGTTTTCTTCCCTGATGGCACATTGGGCATATTCCAAGATGACAATGCCAGGATTCATTGGGCTCAAATTTTAATAGAGTGGTTCAGCGAGCATGAGACAGCAATTTCACACATGGATTGGCCACCACAAAGTCCAGACCTTAACCCCACTGAGAATCTTTGGGATGTGCTGGAGAAGACTGTCTAAATCTCAGAACTGGTAGGACAGAAATACAACTCCTTTGGCAGGTAAAACAGCTCCTTATATGCATTTCAGCTGAGCATTTAGCTGTTTGCCTGGAGTTCAGCTTTAAGACATATTCAGACACAAAATGTATTTTAAGACCCCATTCACATGGGGCATTTTGGGATTCCTGCATTAAAGGAGAACTATGAGGCGAGTGATTTCCACTCACCTCATAGTTCTAGCCGACCTGTGACAATGAGACTGTCACTGGTCGGCTCAGTAGATCGGGAGGTGAGCGAACACATACCGGGTTCGCTCACCTCTCGATCCTGTCACGGCTCTCTGCCGTGACAGGGGGAGGGGCTGGATTCCCCTCTCCCCGCTCCGATCTGCCAGCGCTGACTGGCGGAACGGACGGGGGAGGGGGCGGGTACAGCTGGCTCTGCCTCTAGATAGGCAGAGCCAGCTATCACTCACGCAGCTGGGCGGATCCCGTCGTCTAAGTCGGGATCCGCTCCGGCTGCGGCGTCTCAGTATACCGCAAGCAGTAGTTTGCGGTATACTGAGCTTAGGGTAACGGGAGGACGCTAGTTTGTGTCCTCCCGTTACCCTAAGGAGAACTATGGGGAAAAGCCATGACCCCATAGTTCTCCTTTAAGAACCTACTGATTCCTGCACCAGGAATCCCAGGTGCCCTGTTCAGATGCGGCTGGTGTACACATTGAAGTAAATGACAGGGTGACAGTGGACGCACCCGTAAGCGGAAGTCAGCTCAGCATGTAATAGTACAATAACATGTAGTTTAGAATAGATGATTACCGCTGGACTCATCTATCCCAAACGACACGTAATCGTACCATGAACAAGGACACCTGGCATTCCTAACAAAGTTTTATTAAAGGAGAACTATGGGGTCAGGGCTTTCCCCATAGTTCTCCTTAGGGTAACGGGAGGACACAAACTAGCATCCTCCCGTCACCCTAGGCTCAGTATACCACGAGCTACAGCTCACGGTATACTGAGACGCCGCAGCCGGAGCGGATCCCGACATCGATGTTGAGATCCGCCCAGCTGCGTGAGTGACAGCTGGCTCTGCCTATCTAGAGGCAGAGCCAGCTGTACCCGCCCCCTCCCCTGTCCGTTCTGCCAGTCAGCGCTGGCGGATCGGAGCGGGGAGGGGGGGAATCCAGCCCCTCCCCTGTCACGGCAGAGAGCCGTGACAGGATCGAGAGGTGAGCGAACCCGGTATGTGTTCGCTCACCTCTCGATCTACTGAGCCGACCTGTGACAGTCTCATTGTCACAGGTCGGCTAGAACTATGAGGTGAGTGAAAAGAACTCACCTCATAGTTCTCCTTTAAGGATAGACATTGTTCACACATTTTCAATGCTTCATTTCCTAAGACTGGGTATGCAAGATGTATAGCACCAAAAGCAGAATATATAAAAGTACAAATTTAATTTTATTCAGATTTTTACAACATGAAAAGACAATGCGTTTTGGGGGTTCTAAGGGACCCCTTTTAATCAGGGCCTGGTCCTGTTGAGCTAAGTGTGTACTGGACTAATAGAATTGGAGGGATTCTGAGGGGTAATCAGCATGATCGCTCCAGTCGCTGGTTAAGCAACCTTTTTGTAAGACTGTCAGCTTTTATGATGTGGACTTTATTTTGGCATGACAGGTTAAATGTATAACTTGTATGATGCATTGTGATATTTTGCTACATAACTACACATACCCATGTTTTATTCTGGCAAAGGCTCAATGGAAGCCTCACATACTACAATATAATGTAATTAACTACAGAAAACAGTGTGGTAAAATCACTTACATTACTCCAATTTTTAGAACAAAAAGCATCAGGTAATTCACAAGGGCAGTGACAACACTTGCCAATATGCTTATTAGGATTTGAGGCCACATTATCTCCTATAGAAAATAGTAAACAAAACAGCACCATACACATTAGCATTAATGACAATACAAGAAATACTGTACTGCACATGCAAATACAATACTCTGAAGGGTACTGGTGTAGGTTTAAGACTATACATCTAAGCAAAAAAAAATATTACAATCTTTTTGTCATAAAAAAAACCTTGAAGGGAATAAAATAATAAGAATTAGTAAAAAAAGAAAAAAAGGGATTCTGCCCAAGTCTCAGTGGTCCAGTGAAGAGTTGCTTATCTATAGGTCCCATGTCTTTCCAAACTTGGTTTGCTGAGTTTGTGTTTTTTACACACTTTTTACGCAAATTGTAGTATTTTTTTCCATATTTTTCCTATTGCCATCCCAACAGCCAGGAATATATTGGAAATCAACCATTTATTACATTTGGAAAGATCCATGGCTATTTAAAGAAATTAAGTAGTTTCCAGAGACCTGGATTTCTTGGTCTGAGTCAAGGAGTATGCCACCAAATGTGATACATGGATGCCAATGGGTCACAGCCTCTAAAACATAATGGAGATGATTGCAAAACCAACTTAGAAAGCCTAATAGGAACCATTTAGCACATCAACATGGTTTTGTAGTTGAAGTTTATTAATGTATTGGTTGATATTCGAGATAGGTTGTCTGCAATTGCAGACAACCTTTCTTGAAAAGGTTAACTGCAATTGCATTCCATTGTTGAGAACCCAGTCACACACCCAAATCTTGTTTGCATTGTATCATGTAAGAAAGTTTTTGAGTAGGTGTGTTGAGAGCAGTGTACATGCTAGATATGCAACTTCTTGATTAGTCCCTAGAGCTGCATGTAGCTCAAAAGAGCTAGTGGAAGTAGGTTGCCTGGTTTATATGAGTTTCCTTTTTATAAATTAAACTATTTGGGAATATGGGAAATGTTCTGAAGGGGATAATGTACTGTTCCTTTAAAATATGAAGCCCAGGCCAAGAATAGCCCCTTGCCCACCCTGGTCACAAAGTCCCCTGTACACAAGAAATCATTTGTTCATCCAATACTAGAACAGGGACAATCTGAGGTTGCCTAGAATTGGTGTCAAGGGAGTATGTGGAGAATTAAAGTGTACATCTTCCCCTCTGTCTGTCCCACTGAGGGAGAATAGGGTAATGTGGGGCACAGAATAGTTGGCTGTTAACAAGCCTTTTACAACAGAGGCCAGGGAGTTAAAAGAGGAAACAATGTGCTAAGAGCCTAAACCAATACTTCATGTTTACATGACTAAAACATTAATTCTGTAGTCCTGACCATATTACAGAAAGAAAATATGATACAAATCTCTACACATTCCCTTGGAATTGACTTATTTGTAGCGCTTGGTTTAGATGCAAACAGTGCTTAGTGGCTACAGTGGAAATAACGCTATATAGCATTAGATGCAAGAGGTACCTGGTTTTGCAAGTAACGTAGTTCAAGTTGTAAAAAGAAGAATGCCTGCAATAAAAAACAAACAATCTGTCAAATTAAGTCATGCCTGTGGACTTGTTTGTTATACTTTTAAATCAGTGTTTGGACCCTGCAAGGTCAACAGGACCCACAATATGCACGGTTGAGTCTATCTAGCAACAGGAGAGACTTTTATAAGCTCTGTCTATGCAGAGGCAGCCAATTAAAGCCTCCACCTCACACAGATCTAATATCTAACATAGTCAAAAGGAGTTGAGAATGTTGTTGCTGAGACAGCAGGGAAGTCTTACTGTGAAACAGAAGTAAGTGTCTGGAGAAAGGAGGGTTGGGGACATTGACCCTGGAAGCATCAAACGATCCTGCCGACTTGGATGAAATTTGACCATTTTCTGGCCCCCAATGGGACCCCACCTTCGACAAAAGTCGATTTTTCAAATTTGACAGTTGTCGAACGAGTCGGTCTGGAAAAAATCAGCCTAGCATTCAGCTCACCGGCTGCTGCCAGATAACAATAGCCTGGCAGGGGAATAGAGAGTTTTTTTTGCTAGTTAGCCCACGGGGTTGAACAAGAAAAAACCAACAGCGTATTGGCCAGCTTTGCAGTCTATAAGTTGGTCAGTCTAAAGCAATAGCTTGTGCCTTAAATGTGGGCTGGCAATCTAGTTGAAAACACTAGTGAAAGAATTAAAGGGCTAAAGGGGATTTAATATGCAGGTCAATCCAACTACCCCACAAGTCATTTTCAAGTCCCAAATGGACTGATTAAAAATGCACTGGGATAGATTTATAAAGCAGTGAATGTGACATTCATCAAACAATAACTGCAGGTTTATCTTCTTAGTGCATATTTGTTACTTACAGTGATTGATTAGACTGCAGTGAATGTTTGGTGAATGTCACATTCACTGTTATACAAATATGCCCCATGTTATTGCTAAAATATATAACATTTGGGCCAAGTTTCAAAAACATTTTGTGAGGTGTAATTGTAAATAATATACATTAGATTAATTGGGTAAGTGGAGATACTTACAGGAAGGGCTGGAATTAGGACCAACACGCACAATTCAGTTTCTCTGTTAGGAGAAAGATGTATAAATAGTTTATTTTAAAATATTCAAACTGAGAAATGTTTAATTTCAGCTGTAGAGACTTGACCACAATGGAAGCAATTTTAAAAAAATATGTTTTTGCTAGAAACTTAATGTATTGTTGCTAACAAACTTCTTTGTTTTCATCTGGCTGCCAGCCAGTGGCTAGATTCCATGGTTGGCAGCAGAATATAAACAATGAGGAGCAACAGCCAGTAGCTGGCTGGCTATTGTACCCGCCCACTGAGCAGAGGAGCGAATCTGAGAGGGAACTTTCTCTCTCAGCTCTGCTCCTCTGCTCAGTAGGTGGGTTTCAATAGACAGCCTGCTATTGGCTATAGCAATTTGAAGTAGCCAATAGTAGGCTGGCTATTGCACCCACCCAGTGAGCAGAGGAACACTTTCTCACCGCAATGAGGGGTGGTTGCTTGAAAGTTACTACTTAACTCTCAAGCAACCAGAAACCACAGTTATCCAGCACCTACCGATCCCCGTGGGTGCTGAATAGGTGGGAGTGTAATGTAGCTTTTCTCATTTAATCTCATATATCCTGCCAATCCCAGCCAATCAGCATCAAGCCAGCTTCCGGACCAATCAAGAAGCTAGGAAGCGGGTAATGATTCGCTGTCTGGCTTCCTGATTGACGGGGAAGCAGGCTCCATGGTGTTTGGCTGGCTCCATGCTGATTGGCTTGGAAGCCAGCTCCATGTTCCCTCGGGGCACTGCCGGCTCCATGCTAGCGGAATTACCGGTATCGGCGAGTACTGAAAGATAAATATCGGTACTCGTACTTGATACCAAGAAAACGGCATTGGTGCATCCCTACTTGTGAGTGCATATAACGAATTCAACACACCTAAATCCTACGATGGCCCTAATGCATGCAATGTGAATGCATGTAACTATGACCTTCTAAAGTAACAACAGTACCTTGCTAAGTCTTTGTCCTGTCCACAAAGCAGAAGGATGTTCTCGGTATTGATATAGAAGGCCCAACAAGGAAAACATGCCAGTGACAGAATAAGGATTGCTCGCTGGACAACGACCCCAATGTATTTCAGATTTTTTCCTCCATAACTCTTAAAGATAGTCAAAAGGTTACTTGTAACATTTCTTGTTTTATTGTATTATTGTATTTCTTGTATTATTTTAAAAAACAGGATGAACTTGTAAGAAACTTTTACTTTATAGGAATGGAAGGGGTACCTGTATATTGTACTTTAACATCAGGCTTGCTCGGTTTTAAAAATAGAAAAGTGCTGAGATGGGAAATCCTTTTCTATTTTTGACCCTAGGCAAAAACAAGCACTTAACCCTTGCAGTGTGGAGGTAGTCCCACTGCAAAAGTTAATAACATTCTTACCCGGAGTTCTTCTTTAATTTATAGTCCCTAGTGAGAAACTTTTTGTGGACCTGCTGCAGATTAAAAACTCTGATGAGGCAGACTTTTTCTGTGAAGGGGATCCAACTTAGTGTGCAAGTGAAGGAGTGACGTGAAACTCAGCATAATTTACTGCATTGTGTAGTGAGGTTACGGGACCGAAAATTGGTCCTGATTTATTAAAACCCAACTCCAGACAATTTTTTTTGTTTTTAATCAAGTCGGTAAGAGTCAGAAACTCATTTCAGTCTCTATTGCTGTAACATCATTGGGGAGATTTCTTCTCACTTCTCCTTTTCCTAACTTCGTTCACTTCTACCGGTGACACAGAGAAAATAAATGAGATGGTGCCGGTGTCACCAAGACGGAAAGAAGCATATAGCAATATAAACCTGACAATTGTTCTAACCTTTTCCCATTCTTTTAAATAAATGTGGTTTTGTTGCAAGCTGTCCCCATCAAAGAGATATCCTATCATTTTCTCTCCTTATGACACCCTGACATCGGGACAGGAAATGAGGGCAAATCATCAAATCAATCATAGATGGCATCAAAAACCTGAATGGTTCTAACCCTTGCACATTAGTTTAAAAAAAAACAAAAAACGTTGAGCTTTGAAGTATAATGTGAGTTGAAGTTCAGACGCCTAGACATGAGCAGGGAAATTTGAACAAAAAAAGAACTTCATCTTCACATGACTGAGCGTTTTAAACAAACATGGATTTGCTACATTTTACAAAGCAGCCCTTATACAGTATACATGGCCTACATGGTGACAGGGGCGTCCCGAGGCCGGGTGTCACCCAGAGCGGGTATCGGGTGACTCCCCGCCGTGACATCATTGCGCACGCGCGTGATGTCAACGAGCAGCCATCTTGGCGATTGACGCCGACTGAGAGAGGAGAGGACGTTCACCCCTTCTCTCTCCTGCAACTGTCGGGCTCGCAGTCCATGACCGAGTGCCCGACTTTTCAGAGGGGGTGACACCAAAAAGACTTCAGTCAGTCATTTTGGTGTCACCCCTCCAATGGTGTCACCCGGGTACAGGCCGCACTCCCTGCGGAGAAGAAAACTCTGAAAGATTTTTCACCATACAGGCCATGAAATTCGAACACTTATGTTGGACATAATAACTTGATCAGAGTAACTGTACTAAGGTCATGAAATATTGTAAATTTGTAGCATATTTTTATATTTTGTTTGCACACTATTACATTTTAAAGCAACTTTTCTTGCCAAGTAAAAATAAATAATTAAAAAAGGCATATCTGAAAACAAAGCAGTTACAATAATACTTCCCTAACCCAATGCCTGCGCCACCAAACTCTGCTGCATTGAAGATCCAAGCATGCTGAAGGAAGATGCGCATTCTATACTTGTTGGATACTAGCATCCGCTGCTGTATTCTGTGGTTTCCTACGCTGTCACTGCAAGTAGTGATGTAGGAGCTGGTGGAAGAAACCACGGAGCACAGCATAGGACCATGCACCTGACATATTCAGATGTATGCGGGATGCTGGAAATTTTTTGGTAAGCTTAGATTTTCAACCCAATGAAGTTTGGCGCTGCAGGCAGCGAGTCAGGCAAGTATTTTTTTGTTCCCCCCTTTTTAAAGAGACAGTAAACTTAGGAGTTAAACCTTAAAAATGCATTGAAGTACCTCAACTATTAAGAAAAATGCAGGGCCGGTGCTAGGATTCTTGCCTACACAGGCAAGGTACAAGGCAAGGCAAGGGAGCTCTCCCGCACCGAAGGTAAGTGAAAAAAAAAGACATAGCGCAAACATTGTTGCATTTTGACAAGTACTTGTCAAAATGCCCTGTTTTTTTCCGCCCTCACCCTGCAGCGCCCTCAGACGGCCACCTGACTTGCCTTGCGGTAGCGCCGGGCCTGCAAAAATGTTTCTTATTTGTGTATCACTCAGCTGTAGCTGCTCCAATCATCTCTGAATTGGTGCTGACACTGTCCTTACTCCTGGAGGGTGACTACCTTTGTTCCCCATGGTCTCTGTGTGTTGTAAAATAGCCACCACTCAAAGCTACTACAATCTCACGTTTCGTTTACTCATTTGTATTGGGATTGTAGTTCATCACAGGAGTGAGCTTGGAGCTGTGGCAACTCTACAACACACACATTTTTGTTAATAGTAAAAGGTAATTCATTTTTAAGATTTAACTCCTGAGTTTACTGTCATTTTAACATAATGACAGTCCCTTTAAATTGTATGTCACTGATCTATGTATAGTCAATAATAAAAAAAATAGTAGAAGTAGTTGAAAATCACTAAACCACATATATGAAAATATATTTTAATTTACCTGGGAAAGAAGGGTATCACAGGCTGCATTTAAACCAAGTCCCACTGCAACTCCAAAAACCGAGGTATACTAATAAGGACAAAAATAAGAGTTTATAAAAGGGTTTAGTTTCCAGAAATCTCTATCATATCATCTTACTTTTGTGGGAAATACACCAGCATATGCTGATACACTATATTGCCAAAAGTATTGAGACACCCCTCCAAATCATTGGATTCAGGTGTTCCAATCACCTCTATGGCCACAGGTGTATCAAATCAAGCACCTAGGCATGCAGACTGCTTCTACAAACATTTGTGAAAGAATGGGTCGCCCTCAGGAGCTCAGTGAATTCAAGGTTGCCACCTGTTCAATAAGTCCATCCGTGTAATTTCCTTGCTACTAAATATTTCATGGTCAACTGTTAGTGGTATTATAACAAAGTGGAAGCAACTGGGAACAACAGCAACTCAGCCATGAAGTGGTAGGCCACGTAAAATGACAGAGCGGGGTCAGCGCATGCTGAAGCACACAGTGCACAGAAGTCGTCAACTGTTTGCAGAGTCAATAGCTACAGACCTCCAAACTTCGTGTGGCCTTCAGATTGGCACAACAACAGTGCGTAGAGAGTTTCATGGAATGGATTGCCATGGCTGAGCAGCTGCACCCAAGCCTTACATCACCAAGTGCAATGCAAAGCGTCGGATGCTGTGGTGTCAAGCATGCCGCCACTGGACTCTAGAGAAGTGGAGACGTGTTCTCTGGAGTGACGAATCACGCTTCTCTGTCTGGCAATCGAAAAAACGTGTCTGGGTTTGGCGGTTTCCAGAAGAATGGTGCTTGCGTGACTGCATTGTGCCATGTGTAAAGTTTGGTGGAGGTGGGATTAGGGTGAGGGGTTGTTTTTCAGGGGTTGGGCTTGGCCCCTTAGTTCCAGTGAAGGGAACTCTTAAGGCATCAGCATACCAAGACATTTTGGACAATTTCATGCTTCTAACTTTGTGGGAACAGTTTGGGGACGGCCCCTTCTTGTTCCAACATGACTGCGCACCAGTGCACAAAGCAAGGTCCATGAAGACATGGATGAGAGAATATGGGGTGGAGGAAGTTGACTGGCCTGCACAACCTGATAGAACACCTTTGGGATGAATTAGAGCAGGGACTGCGAGCCAGGCCTTCTGGTCCAACATCAGTACCTGACAAATGCACTTCTGGAAGAATGGTCAAACATTCCCATAGACACACTCCTAAACCTTGTGGACAGCCTTCCTAGAAGAGTTGAAGCTATTATAGCGGCAAAGGGTGGGCCAACTCAATATTGAACCCCAAGGACTAAGACTGGGATGCCATTAAAGTTCATGTGCGTGTAAAGGCAGTCGTCCCAATTGGCAATATAGTGTATGTACTGATTGTTTTACTGACTGTAATTATGTCTTTTGAGCAGTAGATGGCGCTGTAGTGCAATGTTAGTCTCTATGCTTATGTGTACTTATCTATGATGCACAGGAAGTTCTATCTGTATATAGATTACGTTCACAATGCTCTATAATGCTGTATTCTTGTATGCATACATGTAATGTCCTGCTAAGCAAGTAAAACGTAATTCAGCATTCCTCAGTGCTTCATCTAAACAAGTAACCAACAACTTTAAGGATTTTGACATATAAAATTATATGAAACATTGTACAACACATAAATAAAACATTAGAACACAGAATTAAAAGCCAATCTGGACAGTAAAGACTATACTTACTGCTACTGCTAGCATGATTGCATCCAGCTGTAGTTTCCCAATACGTCCAACAAACATGGCAGTTATGATGATTGGTACAAAGTCCATAAAATTAGTAATGGCCTTTTAAATAAACAGCAACACGACTTGATTAAAATGACATTACATACAGCAGTTTTATAAAGGGAATGAATTGTCTTAATTTTTCTTCAAATATATCACTAAAGAAAATAATCTATATACTGTGGTCCAAACCAAAGGTTAAGCTGGCCATGCACTGTTAGATTTCTCTCGTTCAGCCCCGAGAGTTGAACGATGGAAATCATTAGACATAAAACAGTGTGGATAGAGGAATCCCCCGCTGCTGGCTATTGTATTTAGCAGTTGCTGCTTCCTCGGCTGCAGAATACCTGAACTGCTTCTGCTGTCTGCTTCTGATTGGATAATGTTCCACCCAACTCCTTCAACAAATGTTGCTTGAAAAATCAGCTTTTATCAAATGGGTCTTGTCCAAGAAGGGCCATCCACGGCTTGCATTTCAGTCAATTCCTGCTGAATCGGCCCACATTTGAGGTGTGGATGACCCTATTAACCTATATCTTTCCGGTGTCCTTTTTTTGTTCACCCTAATTTCACACTCCTGTATAAGTGTCAAGCCATCCATAGATTTTTTTTTTAAACTGATTACTTCTTTCTCCTGAGATACAATTAGTGGTAGGAATGTCTGCATGCAGTGGCAGAACTACCGCCATAGCGACCCATGTGGGCACTATGGGGCCCGCGACAGAGGGGGGCCCGGTCAGGAGCAGAGCTTACAATCCTCCTGGGTCCCGGCATGTGCACACTATACTTTTTTGTCCAGGGACGGGGTGCAACGATCAGTCCCCACAACCCCGGACATTGTAGGCGAAGACAGCGAATGGGTGGGGTCAGACTCCTGCTGCCTTATCTGGATTGGTCAGTGAGAGAAGTGTGCATGGTTTGGAGGGAAGAATGAGGCGCAGCTGTGGATGGACGGACATTGGGGACATCGAGGAGGGGACAGAGGTAGGGAGACATCTGTGGTCAGCTGGTCACGGGGCTTGAAGTTGAGGCATTGCGCTGGGCCTGTTGCTGTATGGTGCTGTGACAAGACTTCCCAGGTGTCTGCTGGCTATCATAGCCAGCAGACACCTGGGAAGTCTTGTATGCTACATGCTGGGTCATTCATTGCTGTGTCTATCATTGTCCAGCAGTTCTGTCGCTGCTCTCTGTCCCTAAGGGCTTGCTCACACCAATTACAGTGCGTTCCAGAGTGGTAGCTGCTCCCCCCTGCGTTCTGGGGGGGGGGCGAGGCGGTGCATTGAAGCCAATGGCACCACATCCACGTCCCCTGCCTGCAGTGTGGTCGCTCACATGGAATGTGTGGGAAAACATTGCCTGGGTTCCGGTCTAGTGCAATCGCCAAAGAATAGTGCATGCAGCATTTTTTGCGATCGTACTGGACCGGAGTTTAGTGTGCGATACAGTGCGTACCAGCAGCTACCGCTCTGGAACGCACTGTGTGTGCTGTGAATTGGGGGGGGGGGGGGGGGGGGGGGACTGCTCTCCATTGTAAAGTATATCTAAGGCCAAAGCCTTTTTTTTTTTTAGTAGAGTAGGGAATGGGTAAACACTTGTTGGGTTTTTATTATTATGCCAGGTTGGCTGCATTGGGCTGGTGAATGTATTAAAGGACAACTTTACTATACTTTAATATGCTGTGACTGCAGTCAGGACAATTCAGTACTAATTAGCTAATGATATCTTATATTTCTGTTTTATATTAAGCCTGAACAAGAACATTGCAAATAATACAATCAGCTGTTCTACTACAGCAAAAAAAAACTAAATTTGTCATGTATTGCTACTGTTATCCAGAGTAATTTTCCTGGCTTTGGACTACAAAGAGAAAGAAGAAAATGGAGCACAACAGCAGAGGGCCAAAAAGCTGTTGCGAGAAATTTGGCATTATGTATTTTAATAGGTATAGGACCCAGTTCATAGAGAGAGATATATTTTGAGAAGTAAGGCGCTTGTATCTTCTATCCGTTTAAACTGATATTACCAAGTAATAGGCACGACAATGTAACAGTCAAATGTCATATAATAATTAGGTTATTAAAAAAAAGCATACATCATCACCATACAATACCAGGAACTAGAGAAGTCAATTATATGGCTTTGACTTACCAGAGGTCCTGCAAACCATAACAGCATCTTGAGCTCAGAGCCATTTTCTTGAAAATAATGCTTTACCCTCTGTGAGAAGCTACTACAACAACCAGGGCACCGATCTTTACACATGCTGGCAATAGATGGTATTTACTTCACCATGGCTTCATCATTTAGAGTATACAGTCTTCTCATTCATAGAATCCAGAATGTTGGAAAGAAGCAGTACGGGTCCCAGAATGAAATCATCTCTTGCACTGTTAGGAAGGCAAGTGAGTTGGCATAGTATCCAAGTAGTGCAAAAGCAATGCGGAAGGGATTGTTGATGTTTCTGTGACTGGTTTATTTGCAGTTGCACCCTCACTGCATTGTTCAACAAGGAACACAAGTTTTCATTTGGCCACAGGCTAATTAGAAGAAACTTGATTTTCTGGTTCTTTCCTTTATAATAATGTCTAGTGAAACTGATTTTTGTGTTCAAAGTGGTAGAACATACTGTAACATTGCCAAGCAATGCTACAGTGTAATTTGGCAGCTTTGGCACCCAGGACTCTCAGCCACAGGGGCTGAGAGGTTCCAGGATGAAAATAGTTTCACAGGGAATAAGCTGGCTTTTCAGCTTTTCCCAGAGTGTAGCTTGGATCTGGGACTCTGGAGGTTTCTGAGATTCTTTGGTGGGATGAAATCTCCAGTCCTGGGGCCAGGTATTGACAATGACCAGACTGGACTGATCAGGTGGCTGAAAGCAGCCTTATTAAGAGTCTGGACCAGAGCTCAGAGAGAGGTTCTTGGTGTTTGGGTGTGCAGGAAGCACACGGACGCAAGCAGCAGGGGGAGGATGGGAGAGGTCGATAGGGTCGGTGGCACCCAAGGGACAGATTGAGACAGTATCAGTGACACACGGGAGATGTGGAGTTGCAAGAATTACACAGGTGTGTGGTGAGCCGCTTGGAGCTGAGGAAAGTTACTGAGCATCACTGAGGACTAAATCTGTGGAGAAATACAGTTAGGCCTTGTTCACACCTAGGTGTTTTAATGCGCGCTAAAACGCTCAGCAAAGAAAATTCCATTCATTTCAATGATCCCTGTTCACACTTGAGCGTTGCGCATAAAAAACTGCCTGTCACACAGAAAATTTAATGAGCTACTTTGGGCATATAAAGCAAGTTTTTGGGCGACAGACTTTCATTGCAAACCCGCCAACACACGCATTTTTTACAGCATGGAAGGACCTCACCTTTCAAGTGACATGCGGGTGTATTGGAAAAATTTGTCTTCGTGCCCACGTAGCTTATCATACATGGCCCAGAACTGCCCGCTTTGCTGTCTGCTCGCAATGACAGGATGGATACAGAACTCCAGATTCGCTTTCATCATCGTGGTCAAGACAGCTGCCAGACTGTGCCACTGAAAGTAATAAAGATCCATCACCAAGACAATGTAGCAGGGAACACAGCAGGAAACACTCTCCTTTACCTGCATGAAAGAGGAAGTTATGTAAAAAGGAAACCGGAACTTATGCCATGGATTTGACTGCTTTTCATTGGTCAACGCAGCAGAGAAAAACGCACGTCAACACGCTACAATTTACAGCAAAATGTGCGCACAAAAACATGCAGAAACCGTCGACATCCAGGTGTGAAAAGGGCCTTAAGGACTGGGACGTTGTGAGTGTACCTGACAACCTGAAACCCGATGAGATTTGGCAATATGTCATTTTGCCGTAGGACAAAAGGACTTTGTGTTTCTTTGTGCTGAAGAACAGCGTATTATTTGACGTGCACTGACTGTCGGCCTTTGTTTAAATAAAGACCGTCCTTTTATGTTTAAGGCTTCAAGAATGTTCTCTAGGCACTCACCATTGTGCTAAATTCCCTAAATATCATAAAGCACATGAACTAGTATTATGGTTAAAGTGTAAATGTTCAATTGGCATCCTTAGAATATAACAGATTACTGTAGTCTCAAAAGTACGGTATATGTTTTCATAATCAAGAGATTAACACAACACTGCAAATATATCTATAGACATTATATGCTAATTAAAACCCAAATGAACCCTTGCTATTTATTACCAGACATCTCAACTCTCCCGGATGTTCCGGGAGTCTACCACAATATGATAGCGGCTCCCTGACGCCAGCGAGAGAAACATTATATTCTGGAAAGGAGTAAACCTTTCCAGGATCCCCTGCTAAGAGTTTGGGCTGTCAGAATACAAAAAAAAACTCAAAAAACAGCAGATAGAAGGGGATGTATTGGCTCTTCTGCTATCTGCCATCATTTTAGGGAGGTGCCCTCTCCCCTCCACCCCCCTCAGAAATGTAGAGGGCACCTCCCTGGAATTAGTTTTGTCAGTTTGGGATCCCTGTATTACTGTAATGCATTCAGTCTGCATATACAATAATAAATATGGGGCTCTTTTATTTTTTCTTAATTGCCAAGTGCTGCAGCAAGGGTTAATCCTGGCAACATGTTGTAGAGATGGACCACTGGTCTCCCACACAAGCTGCAGCCCGGCTCTCCAGTGGTCTAACACACCTTCCCCTGAACACTGAGACAATCAACAGAGCTGCTTGAGGAACAAGAGCGATGTTAATTAAAGCAGTCTTCGGGGAGGAGGGGTCAGACCATTAGAGAGGCCACTGCTTTGTGTGAAAGTACAGCAGTCTCATTGCTATGTGCTACCAGCAAAGTTGTTTGTTTTTTTTTACCCTTGCTGCAGCACTGCGCAGGTAAAAAGGGGCCCTGTATTTATTACATTGTTTATGCAGCCTGGCTGCATTACATTAATAGGGAGTGTTTATTATGGCTTTCAAGTGGACCTTAGAGTGAAATGCAAGGTCTGCTGCCCAGGTCCTATCCCCGTTACAAACCACCTACTGATAGGTGTAAAGTAAACCGTGCCTGTAAATCATACTTACTTTACCCTCATCTTCTTTATCACTGGGTATGACGTCATTGTTCTGAAAAGATTCCTGGGGAATGCAGGGCAAGCAAATTATCCTGAGAACACACTCCAGTTCATTGCAAGAGCAGATTTCTGCTGCTCTGTACTCCCCAGGATCGGGCCGGAAGGAGTGTGACGTCATCCTCACCTAGGTGCCGCAGGCAGGAGATGCGAGTGAGGTAATTATAGACCCTAACTTTTTTTTCTATACAAGGTACATTTTATACCAAGGTGCTCAGTATACCCACTGTAGGTGATTTGTGAAGGGGTGGGTGGGGGGCAGACAGTGTAAGAAGACATTGCATTTCACTGCAAGGTGTGCGTTAAGAGATTTAGCTAACAATTCTTTATACACCCAACATAAAAGGTTGAGAAAACACCTGATAAAAGCAAAGCATTGCAGGCGTTTTCATTATGCCATTCCAGGTTAAAGTCCAACTCCAGCCAAAACGTATGTGTTGATTTTGGATAGAATGGAGAAGGGTTATAACCTTTTTTATTGTCATGTGTTCCAGTTAGGGGTGGGGGGGGGTTCCACCTTACTTTCTGTCTTGGTGACCACACAGGAAGTAAGGAGAATCTCACCAACATGGAAACACACAGCAATAAATACCTTACAAAAGGTTATACACTCTGCTTTTATTACTGACTGACAACCCACTGCATAGAGTTTATACTCAATGGCTAAACAACAATGAAAGCTGTCAGATGCTCTTACTGGTAGTTTGGTCCTAGCTTGGTAAAGAGCTGGACATGGCTTTGAAACATCACTGTTAAAAGATAGGCGCTACTGTGTTTTGTAGACTTGAATGCAGATGTGAAGTGTTTCTATGCATTTGAGGTTCCTTTGATGCGCTGAAGGAGGTTTCATGCTGGCACCAGATATGGTGTATACTCTAGTACTACAAGTATTTAGAGCAGAGAGGAGAGGGTGTTCTGCCCAAAGTGTAGCTACTGAGAGCCTGGAGATCTCTGCAAAGAACCAGTGCCATCATCTCTTGGCAAAGTCTGTCATGCTGATACAAATGATGAAAGAGCCTGCTGTTTCCAAGTAAATAAGAGTGTGAACACTTACATCAATTATATTGTTAGTTATCTGTAGACTTAAATCACAATGCATTTAGATAAGGATCTTTAGTTTATCCATAAGTTTGTAATGTTACTGGAATTAGCTGAAAATAACAAAAAATTTGGGGGGGAAAGGGGATCCTTTTCCTGGTGTGTTAGCTTTGTAAATTGTAGAAATATTTTCAACAACCACCAATTAAGAAATGCTGCTGTAAGAAATAGGTGGCCACTGTGGAAGAACTTCCATTATATTGGGGGTAGAGTGGGAAGAATTAATTCTTCCTCCAACTGACTACCAATATTAGGGGGAATTCTTCCTCCAACTGACTACCAATATTAGGGGGAATTCTTCCTCCAACTGACTACCAATATAGGGGGAATTCTTCCTCCAACTGACTACCAATATAGGGGGCATTTTTCCTCCAACTGAGTACTTATTGCAAGGTGTATTCTTCCTCCAACTAATGACATGTAAGGGGGCATTCTCCTTCAACTGACTGCTGATATAAGGGGCATTTGTCCTCAAGACTACCAATATAGGGAGAAGTCTTCCTCCAGCTGACTTCCATTATGGGGACATTCTTCCTCCAACTGACTACCAATATAGGACACATTTTTTTCTCCAAATGACTAACAATATAAGGGGCATACTTCCTCCAACAGACTACCCAATATATGGACCATTCTTCCGCCAAATGACTACAGATATAAGGGTCATTCTTCCCCTAACTCACAATCAAAATAAGGGGCATTCTTTCTCCAACCAACTTTCCAATATAGGGGCATCCCCCAACTAACCACCAGTTGAAAGGGGCATTTTTCCTCCAACTGACTACCGATATAAGGGGAATTCTTCCATCATCTGTTGACAAATATAAAAGGGCATTCTTCCTCCAACTGACTACAAAATATATTGGGCAGCCTTGCTTTAACTGACAACTGATATAAGAGGCACTCTTACTCCAACTGACTACCAATTTAGGGGCGTTTCCCATTGACCAGCAACGTGAGAGCATTCTTCCTCAAACTAAACACCAGTGTAAGTGGCATTTTCTTCCAACTTGCCACAAATGCAATAATCATTCTTCTTACTGACCACCAATGTAATAGGCATTTTTCCTACAGCCCCTGAGAACAAAAGGCATTCTTTTTTCTACTGGCCACCAATAGAATGAGGAATTCTGAATGTCCTTTATTGACAGTCACGAGGAGAATGCTCCTTTTATTGGTGGTCAGGGAACATGTCAATAACATTGGTTGTCTTATTACGGAAAATATTTTTGATGTATAGAGGAGGGGTGTGTTACACTAGGTACACCACTGACATATGATCCTCAGTACACTGCATGTCAGTTTCATTTTTGTCCTCTCCTCAATGGAAACTGACACACTACCCCTTTGATTTCTTTCAACCAGCTTGTTCACAAGTTGGACCATACTAACAAAATCCAATATGCTCTATTCATATTTGAAGCAGACAGTTTGATTCAAATTCTTTATCCAGTTTACATATTATATTCCATCTGCTCTCCTCCAGAGCTATTACTTGCTCTTGGAACTGGCTGAAGCACTATCCCTTTCCACACAGAATCCCCAGATTTCAGAACCATTTGCCTCAATCATAAGTACTCTTGGCCGTCTTATACAACAAATTAAATGATGCAACTTTGGTATAAAGTCTTCTTTCTTTCTTCCATAAAAATAATAAATATACATAGGTATTTAAGTGCTGTGAGTAATAAATTAAAACACAAAGTTCATTGTCAAGATTGACATCATGATCCAAAAGCTGTGCTTGTACTGCTTTCTTCTAGTGTCCCATGGAGGCCAATCTCTACTTCCACTTGCAAGTTTGAAGGCTGGGAATGCAAAAAGAATTGGAAATGTAATAACAGTTAATCATGATGTTAATACAATTGCATACTTTTTAAATAAACAAGCATACCTGTCGAGGCGATTTTACAAGTGATGCTGTACAATATCCACTTTGGGTGTTTCCTTCTTGTCTGCAAAGCAGAATACGAGTGCTGGGCACAAAACTCCATGAACGACCCAGAGCTGGACGAATCCTACCTGTACTGTCTTTGGTAATGTGATTGGTTACCTGAAAAAAATACATCAATCAGCAATCAACACTATCAAACCAATAACTTAATAGGTGGAAAAGTCCTTAGCAGGATCCTGTGCTATATCATAAACAATAAAAGTAGCCATTACAATGAAAGGTAACATGTAATCTAATATTTATTATATAAGATCACAATAGAGCAAAATAAGGCATTAAAAGTTTATTCAACATGTAACAGGTCACAATCACCATAAAGCTGAACTCTGGACACAAAAAAAGGTCAATTTGCATATATATTTCTTAAAGGCAACAACAGGGAATAAATCTACTTTTCGTAGACAAAAGTTCTCGCTGAATTACTGCACAGATCTGGAACAAATACACAAAGCACACCAAGACTCTAGTAAGACTGCACATGACTCTTGTTTTTAAACAATATAAGCTAATCCTGCAGTTCAGCATTAAGTGGGGTTCATTTTAAAACAATGGTTGTGTATGGGAGAGTATACTACAGTAAGCTACTGCTCTGCATCTTTTACAAATAAATCTACCATCTGAATATGAAGATAAAAAAAACTAAATTAAAAGTAAAAAACTCACAAGAACAGAAAGGCTGTAATCACGAGCAAGAGTTTGTAGTTCCCGTGCCAGATTATTCATGGCAGCCATTCCTGCATGAGATGAGAGAAATTGGGGTAAAAAATTTACCACTTTAAAAAAACAGGTAAGTCTTATTTTTAAAATTGTACGAGGAAATCATTGTTTCTCACAACACATAGAAAGCAGATTCAAAAATGCCTAGGAGAATGACAGCTGTGACAAGTTGAATACAATTGATGGCTATGAGCTGTCCAATACAGTTCATCAGACATTTATATAACTAAAGCTTATATTTACAATCAAAATATTGTGTTTCTCACCTTCTGTCTGTTTTCCACCTAACAGTGGGTAGATAACAGCACATACTGAATCAATGACTAGAAGTCTCATAGCTTCTCCTGATCTTACCACCTAAGAAAAGAGAGATATAGATTTAGTTCTGTATGCAAAGGTAGATATATAATGTATTGGGGCCTGGTCTGCTAAATAAACCCTAATTAATGTAACAGTGCATACCCTTGCAAGATAATTCTGATAAAAGCTGATGATCATCTCTATGATTAACCCCAAGTGGTAAAACGCGTTCGGGTTTTGCCCATGGGGACTGCTATGATGGTGTATATTTGTTGACTTACTTCAATAAACACTGATTTTATGCAAGAGGACCCGTGGAGTGCAGCTGTGTTGAAGTCAGAGGTTATTGGAGTAGGAACGCACCCTTTAGCCTGCACCTGGGACATGCATGTTTTGTGAGTCCAGTTTGGGGAATTGGAGCGGTGGGGATTTCTTTGAACTGGAGGGAGTTAAGCCACATCTATGTCTCAGGTACTGCCAAGAGGCATTGTGATTTTTTTTTTTTTGAGTGTGCTCATTTTTAAAAACAAAAACGTTAGATAATTAGTGCTTCCATTACAACATTATGCATTTAATAAAACTGACTACATGAAAGTCAGCCTATCCAGAGAAGTCAACCTGAAAGGGTATCCTTTAATATCTACAGGCAAAATGTTTGAATTTAGTGCTGGATGGAGGTGTAAACCCCTGTCATGTGTTTTATGCCGGCTCTGTCCCATTGGAGAGATTTTCCTTTACTTCCTGTCCCATGGACACAACAGAAAGTGAAATTAAATCTCTCTAAAAGGTAGAAGAGGTTTTGACCTGGATTTGGATAATAGGTGCCGCACCCCTGGTAATAATTAGCAAAAAATAGGAAGGAAGGTGTGGTTTTGGAAGCACCAGAATGACAACTCCGAACAAAAATAGTATATAAAATATATTTTTAATAATATTATTTAAAAAAAGGCTCATAGCAAATTCATAAAAGTAACAGTAACCAACTGAGTAGATAAATCCCTCTTTGCTCATTCCCTTCACAAAGAACCTTCCATTCACAGTATAGGTGTTGATAAAGAAGACATGATTCAAATTTAGATTGGCAATTAATAGAGACATGATCGAGGTTAGTTGATCAGGTATCAATAATTCATGATGCTGACATATATAAATAGGTCTAGAATCAATGCTAGGAGGGTTTAGAAGTGAAGCTTCTTTGTTCGGAGTTGTCATTCTGGTGCTTCCAAAACCCCACCTTCCTTCCTTTTTTTTGCTCTCTAAAAAAGGTAGTTCAAAATCCCTCCTATACAGGTGTTCCCATTAGACGTTTTCCCCTAACCTCTTGCTTTGGTGACAACTGTAAAATTCTGAAGTTCTCATCCTTTTTTTGTCTGGGTGACAATGATAATCAGGACAAATAGAGTGTGTTAATCTCCCCAGAAAGACAGCAAAAAAAAAAAACTTCACATAGGTTCTAACCCTTCCACTTTTTATTCTATGGCTAAAGATACACTTTGTAGGTTCATTTCTAAAAACTTTGCAGAGCCATTTGTCCTGTGAATCTCTGGGAACGTTTATTGTATGTCAATAGAGGCAAAGCAAACGTTCTTAGTATGTTTTCTCTTCAGGTCAAATGTAGCTTTCAGAAAATACAGCTTTATATCCACTAGATGAAGCTAGTTGCAACTTTGAAAATGCAAAAGGCAACCAATTTCATAACGTGCCTAAACTGTTAGCAAAAAAAGTAAAAGGAGAGGACAAAAAAGCCTTCTAAAAACTGAAGCTAAAAAGCATAATACATTCAGAAAATAAAACAAACAAATGCATAGACTTTTAAAGTATATTACAAATGCTTCCTCTAGCTTTCGTACCTGTTGGGATAAACTGTGCCTCAAATCCTGAAGTACATCTAATAATTTATACACACAAAACACATGGAACACTTCAATCCTCTGAAGACATGAAATCTAGAAGTGACCAAAAGAGATGGCTATAAATTATGAAATTGTATTTGTGAACAGACTTCAAACACGAAAAATGTGTAAAGAAGGCCTCAGGAGGCCTAATAAATGTAGGCAATGCAGCAATCAGGGCAGGGGTCACTTTACAGCCATATCTTACATAAATAGCGAAGGTTCAAACTGACACCTAACGTTAAGATGAGTTCTACTGACACCTAGTGATGACAAGTAGTAAAATCAAGCTATAGCATAGTTCTAAGATTATCATTTCTTTTTTTTCATTAGTCACCTCATGGACTAAAGAGCATATGTTTCTATATAGTGGTATTTTCAAAAATATTTTACCTATTTAAGCATTATTATTATTATATTTATGCTTTCTGATATACCATGTACATCATGTATTTTTTTCAAAGCCAAGATTTTAAGGGGCTTTAAAGTTTTGACTTGCTTCAGGGTAGAGAAAGGTCTGTAGCGGAGGTGACTAATGTAGACAGGAGCAGCAAAGAATGGGGGAGTAGAATGTTAAAAGAGAGTGAGAGTTTCAACAAACAAATGCTATGGAGGAATGTAGCCCTAAGGTACAAAATAAAGTCTAATACCAATAAGTAACTAACTTTTTACTTGTGAAAATTCATGTATGCATTCATTAACCGAGCTGGGCATCAACTAATATGGTGGAAGCACAGAACAATGCCTCTTTGTAGTTGTATGGTGTGTAGTCATACACAGGCCATCAAACATTACCCAACTGTGGATTTTACATGTACAACGTCCAGTACTTACCTGTTCATCCTCCTGTTCTGTCTTGGATTGTATTAACTGCAGTAGGCGAGAGCCAGTCACGCCTCCTGTGGTATCTATATAACACACTCCTTGCTTCATGCTGCTAGCCACATTTACAGCAATGCTTTGACATACCTAAAAAGAAACAGTTTTGGAATGACAGACCTTACGGCAAACCATAGACAACTCTTGAAAGCCTACTTATGAAGACGGAGATGCAAATTCAGTACAAAATAACATTTTACACAGAAACAAACTCTGCCCGCAATAATCAACAATTACAATTGATTACATGATAATAGGATAAGAAGTGATAACTGTTAATAAGACATCAGATGGCAGCTATTGGCTCTTCTAATGTTATTTTGCTGGTGTCTCCCAGAGATGTGAATCCCTATAAAGGCCCACTAAAAAAATCATAAAATGTAAGGTTTCAAAACATATACCACTCAGAACCTCTGTCAGGTTTTTATTGCCGCCTGTTGCAATGAGTTGGGCTTTGAATCAAAGTTTTGACAAAAAGATACTTTCTGTTGTATACCTAGAAAACCTTATTGTTTATGGCAATATACATTGTGGCAGTCCATTTTCCTATGTCATGCACAAAATATGGCTTGTTCACAGATGCTGCCAGTGTCTGACAGACATCATCATTATTATGAACAGCACTAGCTGTGGTCTTTGAAAATGTTACTGACATCTGTCTACATGCATGCTACCAAAGAACTATTACACCAGATAAGTTAAAGTACATTGTTCTAACCTGTGTTTTGCCACAACCTGCTGTCCCTGCAATCTCTGTGACTTCTCCAGTGTATAACCCTGAATCCAAGAGGAGGTCTAGTCTAGAAGCAAAAATACAATCAATAGGATACAAATAATAAATTTTTTATGTGTGTGTGTATATATCTCAAATCAGTAGTTACTTTTGATAATGACCACTTGGTGCTTTTTGTTATAAGCCTTAAAGAGAGACACTATTACTTGTGCAAACTTAACTACCTGTTCACAAGATGCTTTAGAATGTACATTGAACACGCATGCGCAGCTCAGTATAAATTCTTGGTATGCCTTGGTGCTGGGATAAATAAACCCCAGTGCGCATGTACAGTAGTTATGTCATCTCCAGCCTGGCCAATCAAGATGTCCAACCCAAAATAAGACAGACATTGTTGACACTAGTAAGGGGGCATGTGGATGTTGCTATTCTGGAAGGAAGGTAAGTATTGAAGAGTTGAGTTCCAGGTGGTATTGACACTTTGTTAGGAGAAAACCTTAAAAGTAGAATTAAAGTCTCTTATTTTTTGGCATATATCTACTGCTAGTAAGCAGTAGATATATGCCCCAACATTCAAAAAAATACCAACAAACTTTCCTGTGTCAGCGCCGCTCGCTCCCGGCTGCAGAAGTCCCAGCTCCCAAATGCTGTGAAGGAGGAAGTGTGGGCTGGCGAATGCGCAGTCCAGATCATCCGAGGGGAGAGGAGGAGAGCGGCACAGAAGCTGGATGGATGCAGCCGGGAGTGCGCACGTCGGACATACTCCGTGGGATCCAAGGAGTCTGCGCTGGATTAGAGACCTGCACCAGCGCTGGAGGGACTTTGGAAAACGAGTGGAAGGAAGAAGCTGTTCGGATCAAGAGGCATCACATAAGATAAGTCTTCACAGCAATATTGGGGGGGGTTCTAACTTTAAGGTCAGTGATTATGGGTAACATTAGAATGACATTTAAAAGGTTAGATTAGGTTTTCGGGGTTAAAGAGCCCCAGAAAGCTTTGAGAAAGCAGGTGGTAGGAGATATGTATCTTCTTTACTTTGACACAAGGTGCAGTGTATATAGAAATATATATCTGCAGCACTAGTAGGAAAAAAAAAAAACATCCTAAAAAGGCGTTGGGATATAAATAATTCCCTTCATCTCTGCAGAGAAAGCCATTACTCATTTACCAACAACTAATTATTGTGGTTGCCTGGTTTGTTGGGGAAGCTCATTTGCATACTGATGTTCTAGGTAGGTTTCCACAGGTAGAAAATTGACTTTAATATATTTGCACATATTTAAAATACAGTAATGCAAATGCATATTCCTGTTTTGAATCTGGATGACTTCTTTAAGGTTTAGTTCAGTTTCAGGGTTGTGTTAAGTGAAGGTGAGGTTAAGATCTCTGAAAAGAATTGGGACCCCATGTGTTTGTTGTTGCTTTATGTCATGCATGTCCTTTCTTCCTCTATGAAAATAAGTGGGAAAGCAATATGTACATATTTATAATAAACACATCTCAAAAGTATTAGAATCAGATGTGAAGATTGAAATATAGCGGCAGCCATTACCATTATTGACTTGTTTTTAATGATGCAAGTTCTGGGTCTGTCATCCTGATCATGCTTCACTACCTAGAGAGTCACTGACATGGAACAAGTTTTTAGGAATTTAGACTTTTCAGGATTGACTGGCCTGGTTAATGAGTCACTTGATAGTAAAGACAGGTTCACAATGACAGACTATCTTCTCTTTAAAGTCAAGTCTCTATAGGTCGAACATGATGGACTTTCTTCAACCTGACTAAGTAGATAAAATTGTGCATAATGTTAAAGACATAAAATCACAGTTTAAAGCAGCACTAAACACTGAAATAAATGCTAGGAGGTGTAGTTTTTGGCTACAAAGACTGCATGTCTCTTTTGCCAAAAAAAGAAGTCTTCTACTTTCTCCTAGCAATTCTTTTTCCATAGTACACTGCTGCCTTGCATACACAGTGTGGTGTACAATCCTGGCATTTGTAAGATAGTGAGAAAGGAGCAGGATGCCGGAACAATTTAACTCCAGTGTCCATGCACTGGAGTTACATAAACATTGGCAACCCAATGGTCAAAAAGGGTAGGCCCCCCGGATGGAAAAAGCCAAGAGAACATCACGGCAAGAGCTGCTGACACTTTAGCCATGTTTAGGTTATGCTTTAAATCCATATTTACTAAAAATAATGATGTCTTGTAGACTACAACTTTTAAACTGTGAAATCGCAATGGACCCTGAATGTGTGTGACAGCAAAAATGTGTGTGGACACTTACTTGCTGTTGCCCGTGGGAAGGATTGCTGTAGAAACCTTCAACTCTTCATACAGGTCTGCACCATTTGAGGGGAATGCGGAGTACTGAGCAAGCAGCACACGTCTAATCGCCACAAGTGTCTGAAAAACAACAACCACCTTTATGTACAAGCAGTAATTCTCCATGCTTTATATGAACTGTATAAGTTGGTGGCCTGCTGGTTCGACAGCTGCCGAACGGGCCGGTGTGCGCACACGCACACTGCCCGTTTGCAGTCAGCGTAAGCCCGCCCTGAGGTGCGTGGCTTGCGATGATCCAGAGTGCGATCTGCCCGTCCAAGATGGGCAGATCGTACTTTTTTTAATCCCTGTACAACCATCGCAAGATTAAGGTCTTGCGATGGTTGTACAGTGTACGGCCACCTTAAGGGAAGAAGGAATTGGGTGAAGAATGGCGGGCAACATTAATCCATTCCATTGCGACCAGCTATATCACTGCTGGGTGAAGAACCAAACTGTCTACTAATATGAGGTAGAAAGATCAGGGAAAATAGGGAAATAGGGCTCTGTATTCTGTTGTAGTGGTGAGTTGAATCCAATAATGACATGTTTTCCTGAATTGATAATCAGTATTCCTAAGAGGCAAGGTAAGATCTTCAATGTTTGGTGTCTCGTTTATTTTGGTGCACCAAAGTAGTACTGTGTGTGGGGCTGCCTGTGGAAAGAATAATTTAACCCCACGACTGAGATCCAGAATATACTGTTATTACAGCAGGCCTTCTAGCTTTCTCAATAACCTCCAAGGAGTCTTATGTATAACTTTTGTTGAATTGTTCATCCGCTGCAGCTGTGTTGATCTTTATGCAAGTTTTCTATCCTAGGCCTCATTCTGGGCTGTTCAGACAGGCAAAGATCTAACAATTTCTGTGTACGGAAGATTGGCCCATCCCTTCTTATATATTGTGCATTGCTATTGGCCAGTGATGCTGCCCTTCGTAGTGATAGGCAAATAGGAATGCATGGGACAGCAGGTAGCTTAAAACTTGGACTCTACTGCCTGCTCTAATGCTAGTCTTTTGGAGGCTGCTGCAGGTATATACAAGCATTTCTAGATGCCTGCACTTACTATCTGCAGCATTTCCTTTTTTCCTCTTTAAATAAAGCATGACATGCTTTTTCTAGGCCCGTGACTAACAAAAAAGTTACAGCAAGACTTTTCTACTTCTAGAAGGAGATCAGCAATGGCAGCAAGTTGTTTTAAGATATCAGTGGTTAACATTTAAGGATGTACAATGTTTGTGATAAAGCATTACCTTGTATGATAAGAAGCATTTTCGAGCAAGATCCTCTAAATCTGAAGCCACCAAATCAACCACTATAAATAAAGAAAAGAATGGAAAATATTGAGAGGAAACAGACAGCTAGAAAATGTCATCTATATATAGTTCACTGGTATACAGTCATTTTTTGGAAGATAGGTTTAGCTATAATCTCAGTCTGTATGTTCTTCCTTTGTTTGCATGGGTTTCCTCCAAGTCATCTCATTTGCTCTGGCAAAAGATAGTGTTATTGGCTTCTCCCCAAATTGGCCTTAGTGTGTAGGGGCAGTATACTAACAGCTCCTTTGGGGAACAGAGACTAATGTGAATTGATATACACACACTAAAATGCTACATATTTCCTTTAAGGAGACAAAGTCTACAGAGTTATTACCAGAACTACCCTCTTCATTTTGAGGTGCTGCTCTTAAGTCACAGAACAATACAGAATGGGCAGATAATAAATTGCATTCAAAAGAACACTGTTAAGACATAACATGGCTTTAGTACAGTTGTCCCCCATTTTCTTAAGTGTAGCCCCCTGGTTAAATACTTTCTTCCCCCCAATCCAGTGATTTTCACAGTGCAGTCCTGCCTGTAGCTGAACAGCCTTTTCACTGATAATGTCCCTGCTGTGTCCTCCTACTGCACATTTAAGCTGTGGACCTATTCTTTACTGCTGGAGAGCTGAACTCTGCAGGACCCATGGAGGCTGATATCTCCTACAGGAGAAAAGGAGGACCCGGCTGGGATGTTTTCTGTTGTTTCAGGCAGGGACTCAAAGTGAATACTGCTGCAACTGGGAGGAAAGTGAGCATTCTACCAGGTGGGGGCATTAATTAATGGACAGATGTACTAAATGTACAGCTGTCCTTTAAGTGAAATCTGCAACTGGAAAAAATATTACCTGTTTTCACATGATTTCTTTTGAGTGCAGCAATTATATCAGACGTCAATCCAGGACAAAGCCCCTCTCGCAAAATCACCATGTCTGTCAACAGAACAAATCACAGGAGATAAGGCAAAGTATGCAGTTTATAAATAATCTAAATTAACGCACAGAAATCCATCTGTAATTATTGAATTGTTATATATAAATTAAAACATCTTGTGAATGGATGTATAAAGGGATGATGCGGCTGTGGGGGCGAAGACCACATGCAGCTGCACCATGGCTGCAGGAAGAAGCAGCCTATAACTCAGTTAAGTGGGAAGGTTGTTTTTAGAGTGGGTTGGGAAATGTGATCATTTCCGGTTACACCCTAAGGGCCCATTCCCACCCAATGCGCTTTCATGCATTTTTAAAACCATTAAAAAACACATCTATACAAAAAAATATTATTTTGAATAGTGTAGTTCAGCAGAATGCATTGCGCTTTGAAAATTCAGAGCATGCTGCATTTTTCCGCAGTGCATGTAAATGCATCTCTTTGATAGTACCTCCTAAAAAAAAAAACTCATGTAAACCACAAGTTTTTGGTGGAAATGGGCCTTAAAGCTACATTCACACTATGCTTTTTATTAATGCGTTTATATGCGTTCCAATGGATCTATTCACACTGTGTTTTCAATAGGTATGCACCAATAGCAATACTGGTATCGGTGTCGCTGCCGATACCGAGTATTTGGGCTCGTACTCGCCCAAATGCTCCGATATCTTCCCTGATACTGGAACTTCCGGTCAGAAGGAGATTTCCTCGGACCGACAGTACCATGAAGGCCCATGGAGCCGACTTCCCTGCCAATCCGGAAGCCAGGCGGCGGGTAATGACTCGCGCCCGACTTCTGATGGGCCAGGAAGCCGTCTCCATGCTGATTGGCCAAACAGCCGGCTCCCCTACTAATCAGCATGGAACCGGCTTACCAGGCAATGACACGCCGCCTGGGTCCTCATTGCCCGGTAAGCCGGGTCCATGCTAGCGGAAGTACCAGTATTGGCCATCGGTATTAGCAAGTACAGAAGTATAAAGATCGGTCCTCGTACTGGATACTGCAACCATAGTTTTCAAAAAATAGAAGTCAGGTGCAGCTAATATAAAAATGTGAACATCTATGTGCACCAAAACAAATGTAAACACGCATCATTTAAAGCATCTAGAAGCATACACACAGCGTCTAGCCTGACGGAATTTCCTCTGCATGTAGGAGGTCACAAATGCAAGTGTGAATATAGCCTAAATATGGGGTGCAACATGAAACATGGTCAGAAAGATAAGCTAAGCCTTACATTCTTCCCCACTTCATCCAAAATACTAGCCTTTAGGTCCACTATAAACATGTCAATACCTGGATATGCAGACTTCACACAGCACTTATTACCTGCAATACTAATAGCGACATAAAATACCAACATGCGCATGTGATGAAACAATATACACTATATATGAACAGCCTTACTCCTACCATTCAGTCTTCCTCTAGTTATGTCTGTGATCGTTTTCTATTAGGTACGCCTTGCAGACCATTCACATCTTTTCCAAATCGGGCTTCGCACTTCCTAGTCGTGACCACAGCGATCATGTGACACTGCTTTATCCAATCAGCATCCTCGCTCTATGTCTCCGTGCTTCTGTCCTCTTCAATGCTTTCCTCACCTCGGCTTTCTGCTTTGGATGTCTGTCTCTACATTCCTATCTAATACAAAACAAATCCTTTCTCTTAACGAAGCGGATTTATTAGTACGTGCAAATAACAAAGTTGGTGTGGAGACAAGACAGAAAGACAGGAATTGGAGGAGTGTGTGCAAAATAAAAAAAAAAAACGCAATAGGGTATCAGACTATTTGTAGAAATGTGTAACTGTCTGTGACCCAAAAGATTTGACGTTTATAGACGTATGAAAGGGTCTATTGTTTACCAAAGATTCACACAAATTTCACCCAATACATGGCTTCTAATTGAATCTTTTGTGAACATTGGTGAATGTTGTGTAAATCTCGGGTGAAAACATTGACACAGAGAAGAGTACACCCATCGCGGAGGTCAGATGACACCATTAACCACTTGCTTTCCGAAGCAATTTCTTACTATTTGCGCACACATGATAAAATCTGAAATTTTGGCTAGAAACCAGCTTAAAACCCCCAAACAATGATATATGTTCTGAAAGCAGAGGCCCTGTAGAATAAAAAAAAATGCTAGTTGCAATTTTTAGGTCACAGGATATTTGCACAAATGTTTATAAAACCAGTATTTTTAGGATACAATACACTAAAGTAACAGTGCGCCGGAACAGAATATAATAGACAGCTTTTTTGGTAAAATGTCAAGATGGAGTCAGATTGGAAAAATAGACACCAAAACATATCAAGCCTTAAAATTTGCACGCTCGCGTGAAATCGCATAAAACTACCATACCTCAAATTTTCCATAGCTGACGCTTTAAAAGCTTTTACTGCTCATCAGTTTAGTATTAACTTTGACTGATGACCCTAAAACTATTGCTCGCACTCTGAAGTTCACGGGCGATATGTAACATGTGTGGCACAACTTTCAATTTTGCATGTAAGCGCACCTAACGCGTGTTTGCCGTGGTATACACCGCACTGTACACGCGATCCAGCAGCTGTATAGCCGACGGATCGCTTGTATGTAAACATCCTTCTCCTGGACATTCCAGGAGTCCCCCGCTATACGATAGCTGCTCCCTGACGCCCGCAAGGGAAACATTTGATCCCAGAAATGGTTAAGGTGGCCATACACCTTATAACCATTGTACAACTTTTTTTGTACTGACATCTCACCCTCATTCAATTTTTGTTCAAACAGCCCATCATACACAGACCAATGTAGTCTGTGATTATCATGTGTCAGCACCACTAACTGGCCGATTTTCGTCGATCGAAAGGCCACATTTTCGTTTGCGCATGTGCAGTTTTCATCGTGCGATTTTTGTTGTTGTACGAAAACGCCACTAATCTGTCAATTTTCATCCAAGTCAACGACCTGCAACAATTCCAGGCTGCTTGAAAGATGAAAAGCGGCCAGTTGTACAGTAATAGAGGTTGTGCACTTCCCATCAACTGGCAGATTTTTGCACGAAAGCACAGTCGCGGCCGAAAATTGTCTGATAATTTTAAGGTATTTGGGCACCTTTACCCTGCTCTATCTAGCAGAGTAAACCTTTCTGGGATCCCATGCTATCTGTTTGTTTGTTTGTTTTTTGGGGGGGGGGGTTAAGTTCTCCTTCAGGTCCTCCTCTGCTGATTGACAGCAGCAGTGGGCGCCTTCTATCGGCTATCACAATTTGAAATGGCTAATAGCAGCCTAGCTATTCATCCCCCTGCTATCTGTTGTTGTTTTTTTTAATTCTCAAGGCAGCCGCTGTCAGAATACAAAAAAAAAACAGCAGATAGCAGGGGAACCTCCATTAGCTCTTCTGCTACCTGCCATAATTTCAGGGGGGTGCCCTCTCCCCAATCCACCTGAAGATCAGGCGAGTATATCTGCTTTATTTTATCCCCTTGACCAAAATGAGCACTTAACCCTTGCAGTGAGGGGGTAGCCCCACCGCAAAGGTTAATTATTACATTACCTGGAGTTCTTTTTTAAAACCCTCTGCCAAAAAGAAGGGAATGGATGAATAGATAGTGATGAGCTGGGGCTTGGTGTGAGGCAGGTGTCCTGAACCCACACTTTTTAAAGGGGTGGGAAATGCCCCTGCCGCAACTGATTGGGTTGGGAGAGTTACATGGTTAGTCAGGTTGGTAAAAGACAAGTCCACCTAGTTCAACCTATAGAGATTGGAGGGTATCGGTCACAGTTTTGAGCCGGCTTGGGTGAACTTCGTTCACACTTAACCCAACCTCATCACTAACTGTGAGCCATGTATCCATATGCCTCAAGCAATGACACATAAGCATTTCTAGACATATTTAAATGCATGCAATGGTATAATAAATGCATTTAAGTGTGTTCAGTTTAGAGAAAATAGAATTCTGTGCATCCAGTGGCAGATTAGACACTTTCAACGTGTCTAACCATGTGTAAATGTGAGTACATAAGCGCAGGAGAACTTGACCTGGAAAGCATTACATTTCTTTATACTTCTGGCATAATTTTCCTGCCTTTTAAATAAACCAATCACAGATGGCAAGCGTAAATATAGTAAATATAGCCTAAAAGGTTAAACATGCAATCCGAATTGTTTCTTATAAACAAAGTAGAACTTAGTTCACTGTTGTTGACATCTTCTCGTCAGCTTCTTCTGGGTGCAGGGTCTTCGGCTGTCTTGATTGGCAAGCGGGGATGACGTAACTCCCACACATGCACACAGGGGTTCAGTCATCCAGGCATAGAGGTGTGCTGAGAGTTACACAGAGCTGCACATGGGCAGCTCAGTGTACTAAGACGATTGCGAGCAGGCAGGCTATTTGGTTTGACTTCAGTAGAGACACTATATGGCAGTGGTTCTCAACCTTTATAGGGCCGGGACCTCTTGGTAACATTTGCCAGGTTGTGGTGACCCCCAACCGTAAAATTTAGGGATGCACCAATACTAGTATCTGTGTGGGCTCTCTGGAGGCTATGCGGGCTCTCAGGTGGCTAGTGGGACTCTGGTGGTGCCCAGTTGCGGGCTCTGTGGTGCCCAGTTGCGGCTCTGTGGTGCCCAGTTGCGGGCTGTGTGGTGATCAAGCACTCGCCTCTTCTCACTCATGCCTACTCCCCTCTCTTTGATCCTCTCCGGCGGCTGCTGATGCCGCGCCATCTAGGAGAACTGACACTGCTGCGCTAGGAGGAGGCTGAGGAGCCTCTTACCTAGAGCAGCACAAGGCACGTGGGGACCCCCTCAAGTTTGGGTTGCGACCCACTTTTGGGTCGCGACCCACAGGTTGAGAACCACTGCTCTATGGGGCAGATGTATAAAACCTCCATCCAGCATATAGCTGCACAAATCCCCCTCACATGACATTATGTTCACTAGATTAGTGCTTCTCAACCTTTTTCCAATCACAGCACCCCTTTAAAGGTATGGATTTTAAAGGACATTGATGCAAAGACACATCAAAGTCCCCCCTTCAAAACAGAAGCCCTCCTTTATATCAGAGCCCTCCTTTACATTAAGATCCCCCTCCTTTGACATCAGAATTCCCTGTTTCACATCAAAGTTCCCCTCTACATCAGAGCTGTGGCAACATTGCAGACTGTGGGAGCAGGCCCGGAAGGAGGCAGATTTTCATATTTTTTTGAATGGATCCCACCTTCCCTGAATTAGAGTTATTTATTTCCATGGAGGTGGTGCCAAAATTTTGAGGCACCCTTGAAGAAGCAAGAAAGCCCTGAGAAAGCCAGAAGGCACTCTGAGGAAGGTGGCTCTAAATGAAGCTGAGGAGCAAAACAATGGCCCTGTTGGCACCACTCTGTTCTACATAAGTCAATTCAATCAAATTTTTTGCGAAGGACCCAGACCTAAGACTATCGGCTGAACAGTGATTGGAGCCAATCCGCTGTAGTCACTGTTTAGGTATTGAGACGACTGTGATTGCCGACTGTCAAAATACAACAGTCCGGCAGAGGGGATTTCCCACATCCATGCACAGTGAATGGCCAGCTTTACAGTTTAGAGACATGTGCTGTTTATTTACATTAGATGTTTGGTAGCCTGCCAAAATCTGTTCTCATAGAAAAACAAAGTGCCTGTGTTGTGAACTTTAAACATTACTTTTTCCACACTGCTTGTAGATGCAGAGATAAAATGAGGGTGTCTTATGGTCAGAATATGTAAATATTTTAGTGTGCATGTTCACTTTAATATAACCCACTTAACCTGTTGTGGTCCAGAAATATTCCAAGTTCTCCAGTACTACTGCAATAAGAAAACCTTATTCAAGTCTGTGTGTCCTGCTGTCTAGTGCATTATGCTTTCCATCTCTATTTTGCTTTCCATCTCTGAACTAGTTTAGCACAGATAGAAAACACAAGTAGTGTGTCAATGAAAGTGACACTAAACTCAGGAGTAAATCTTAAAAATGCAATCAAGTACCTTATCATTTAACAAAAGGTGAGATTTTAGTCCATCACAGGAACAAGCTTGGAGCTTAAAGGAGAAGTATGAGTGATTTCCACTCATTCTTATAGTTAGAGCCGACCTGCGACAATGAAACTGTCACACGTTGACTCTATAGATCGGGTAGTGAGCGAACACATACCGTCGCTCACTCACTTCCCGCTCATCTCCTTGCAGAGAGCAGTGACTGTCAGTCACCGCTCCCCGCAGGGATCCCCCCTCTCCGATCCTCCAGCGCTGACTGGAGGAACGGACGGGAGAGGGGGCGGGCACAGCTGGCTCTGCCTCTGGATTGGCAGAGCCAGCTGTCAATTAGCCAGCTGGGTGGATCTCGACATTATTGTTGGGATCCATCCTGGCTGTGGCTCTCTCTGTATATAGTGGTCAATACCTCGCTATATACTGAGCTTTGGGTCACGGGAGGAGATTAGTATATGTCCATCCTAAAGAGAACTATGGGATAAAAAGGT